TACTAATAGGGTTAGCCGGTCAAGGATGTCTTTATTTGGACTATAATTCGTCCCAGACTAGATCAAACCAGATCATATCACACCAGACCAGACTTGGATAGTTATAAAAATACAAAGAAACCAGGCCAGACAAGACCAGATCAGATCAGACCAGACCAGCAAATTACAATCCAAAGTAAAAACATCCTAACACACATATGTTCCTTCAACTAAACACCTTTACTCAATTTGGTACCTGACAATAGAGCCGTCAAAATAGGCTGAAACCCGCGGGCTAATCCGTTTAAACCCATTTATTAATGGGTTAGGGTTGTGAATTTCTGGCCCATTTAGTTCGTGGGTTTAAGTGGGTTGGCCCAACGGGTTGCGGGTTGGCCCGCGGACCAATATACAAACATACTCCCTCCGTCCCTCAAAATTGTTCCCGTTTTCCTTTTTGGGCCATCCCAAAAAATAGTTCTCATTTTCCCTTTTGGAAAGTTTTGTGTGGCTCACATTCATTTACCTTTTTCTTACACAACCACAATCATACATTTCTACTTTATTCCCACTTTCTTAAACTCTGATCCTAGTCAATGAGAGAACTATTTTATGGGACGGAGGGAGTATGTTCTTATTAGCAAAGTGATCTTATTGCACTAAGCTACTCACAATACAAATCTGCTAAAACCGTTCAAAACAATGTAACCAGAAGCGAACATGTGGCGTGAAAAAAGGAGCCGCATTATATTGCACCAAAGTAGTACTATTAGTAAAAAATACCGGGATCAGAAAGTTCGTTTACTACCTGAATGAAGCATTCAATAATGGATGAAGCATTCAAGTAGCTCAGACACGCCGGCGGAGGGCCAATGCGGACGGCCACGTCGGCGGATTTTAATGCAGATTATACTTATCGGCTTCGTTGTAGACAGAGACAGTACCAGGGGCGGCCCTAGGGGGTGCAAGGGGGGCGGGCGCCCTAGGCCCAAAAGAATGGATAAAAAAATAGGCTCAAGTTTAGTTATTTGTAATAGATGTGAGTATGCTGATTTTTCAGCCCTACACTAACAATTTTTCGGGTGGAATGTATTGAAGTTCTTCGGAATGGATTTAATTGGTGAAAAATTATGATCATGTTTTTTTTTTACTCCAGGGGGCTTCTGGGGGGGGGGGGGGGGGCTGGGGGGAGCCTGGAGTAATCTAGGCTGAAACTCACTCCATTGAGTTTCGAACCCGAGACCTCCCGTAAGGGAGAGTGAGTCGGCGACCAGCTGGGCTGGACCGCTTCCTCTATGATCATGTTCTCTATGAAGTGTAGTTTAAAATCAGTTTAAAGTTCAATTCAGAAGTCAGTTAAATAAATTATTGAAAAACACTGCGTTTGTATACATATTTTGGTGCATTGTTTTTCAGTAATTTATTTAACTAACTTCATGGTTGAATTTTAAGCTAAAGTTTTATGGACATAATCTACACTTGATGAAAAACATTCTCTTAAAATTTCATAAAAAATTCCCTCTCGAAAAGAGATTAATCCGATATGATTATTTGATTATTAATTGATTACATTCATAGTTGATTGTTTGATTTCTTAATGGTTGATTGTTTTCTATTGAGTGTTGATGTTATAACTTCTTGTTTTTGTTAGACAAACATTTTTCAATTATATTTAAATTTATAATTTAATTAATTTCGAGGTGTAATAAAAAGGATTGAATCTGAATATGATAAATAAAAAGGAGAAGATTGTAGAAAGCGTCGTAAAGTCAAAAAATGTTCAACGGAAAAGTTTATTTGTGTAAGGAAATCAACTTCTGAATGTCCTCTTCAAGATGAGAACTCATAGAAGAACAATAATTTAGTTACTAAAAATGAAATGATTCAGAATGATTACATGATTGGAGGGGGGGAATTTAGGAGGTGATAATAATAGACTTAATTCCTTAAATATGACTTAAACTAGAGATGACAATTGTGACCGATCCGATGGATACCCGCACCGAACCGCCCCGGTCAAAATGGTGAAAACCGCATTGACCGGGTAATGGTTACGGGGCGGGGAATACCCGTTTTTGTTTTTACGTGTAACGGGGCGGTTACGGTTTTATGCATCTCCGCCCCATTACCCGCCCCGTTTATTTTTAGTTATATTTTTATTACATTCTTATCATTATTTGTCCCCAGGGATGGATTTAGGGGGGGGGCGCGGGGGGGCGACCGCCCCCCTTGGACTTTCAAAATTTTCTACCATATATGTAATATTTTCATAAAACATTCATAATTTAATTAGATTCGCCCCCCCTATCTTTTAATTTTCAAAATTAATATATAATGTTACATAATGCAATACGTAATTGAAGATTTAAAAGAAGGAACATCTAAAATAATTACATAACTTAAACAAATAAACAATAGAATAACTCGTTGTTTAAGATTTAGGATACTTATTATATAAGAATTCCTAGTTTTGTAGTGTTTAATTATCTTTATTAGATAACAAGTACTTGATTTTGTAAAATATATATAAAACAATATTAAATATCAGACACACTAATTACACAGTTTTTAGATCACGTAAAATGAATCCAAAATATAAATGTTTATTGACATTAAATTACATAATTCATTTGCTTCTTGCTTTCTAAAAATAATTAATTGCATAGATAATAAACTTTAAATTATTATAGCATTAATACAAATATTAAAATATAATATGCACCATATATGTGTGTGTATGTGGTGCATATTATTCTAAAAATAATAATATCATACATACTACTATTGTAATATTAAGAAAACTTCTCATGAGTCATGACTCACGAACACCCTCCTTGGTGGCCGGACAAAAATTACAATTCAATAATAACCGATTCATGAGGTTAAACAATGTAGAAGTTGTTAAAAATGTATTGGTTGATGTCTTTGTCATCATCTAATTTAAACTTAGAATGTACTACTTAATAGATTTAAATGTCGTTGGGGATGTGTATGTATTAATGTCATTTTTTGAATAAAATTACCCGCATAGCCCTACAGTAGCGGAAAAAATTCGCCCCGCTACACTAGGGAAAAAATTTCGCCCCACTACACTAACGAAATTTTTTTCACCCCCTACACTACCGAAAAATTTCGCCCCCCTTAAATAGAAATCCTGGATCCGTCCCTGTTTGTCCCACAACTAATAAAAGATGAGATTTTTAATTTTCATTGTGTATATATGGATAATAGATGTACTAACTATAGTGTAAGAATGAAAGTTCTCGATAGAACTTAATAGCCTTGTTCGATTATTACTTCGTATATGATTTTTCGTGATTATTAATTTTCAGATTAAGTATTTTTAGGTTCAAATTAATTTAGGTTGTCTTTTTTCTCGTCTTATAGATATATGAAGCTTTAAAGTGGCATCTGAGTCTAGCGTCGTCTAGGTGATGCCATTTTCACCTTTTAAAATATTATTTTTTTTATTAAAATATCAATGACTCATTTAATAAAGTGATTATCTGGGGTTACCCGCGGTTATAACCGTTACCCGTTGGGGCGGTTATGGTTTGGGTAAAAATTACCCGTTGGGTAATGGGGAAGTTATGGGGCGGGGGAATTACCAAACGGGGCGGGTACGGTTATATGTAAAACCATCCCCGATCTGTCCCGTTGCCATCCCTAACTTAAACATTAGTAAAGTGTACCAATATTATCACCATTATTTTCTTCCTCTATAAGGATAACCAATACTATAATATGATTGGCTCAGACAGAATAGGGTCTTGCAAATTTTTATAATCCTCTAGAAATATTATTATCATTATTATTATATATCGTTAGTTGTAACCCTAGGCTCGTGATGACCGCGGCGGCGCAAGGGAGGATTAGAGTTTACTGATAGCAGCAGCACCAAGGAGGAATTTCGGCCTCTATTCGGCAGTTAGTCTCGTTTCCTTGGGTTGTTTCTTTGTTTTGCTGGTTTCCAGACGCTGTGTTCCGAGTTTTGGTCGGGCCAATTTGGTCGAGGTTTGAGGTTTTCTTGTTGTTTCCAGCGATTGCAGGGCCTTGGATCTTGTTTATTCCATTTCGCTATTTTCCTCCTTTTGTTGTGTTGGCTTTCGTGTTTTTGTGTGAAATGGATATGATTTCAAAGAATGTCAATATTTATCCATTGTTGAGGAAGAAAACAGGGGGCTCGTGATTGCGGCTGACCCTATTGAGAATGAGGGTGACGCTACAGAAGGCTATAATCTAGTGGCGGTGGCAAGAGTGGTATCTGATAAGCCTGTCCGTGCTGTTTCATTCTGCCAAACAATGGCTATGGTATGGAGACAAGTGAAAGGGGTCTCGATTGATGAAATTGAGGACTCAAAATTTCTACTACAGTTCTATTATGAGGGAGATCTCAACAGAGTTGTGGATAAAGGGCCTTGGTCATTTGTGTAACACCGTCCCCAAATATATTTACCTTTATGTAAATTATGTATTGAACGTGGTTTATTGAGTAATGAATTTACGAGGTTGTAAATTTTTGTTATTTTCTTTTGCGTGAATAGTAAACTCCACGTGAGACCCACACTCGGAGCGGGGGGGGGGGGGGGGGGGGGTAACCCGATAACACGAGACCAAATGTTATATTCATCTTGGTCTAGATAATAGTTACATGGTGGTGGAAATTCATGATGGACCATAAGAAAGGCATTGGGTTGACCGGTTGGTCAAACATAGCCCAATTACCAGTACCGACAATTTATCAGATAGCAGTCCGAAATGAATTTCGGAGAATTTTAAATTAAAGTTGGGGAATGTATACTCATTCTTAATATCCATAATGATTATGAACATGTAAGATATTTTATTTGACCCGATAAAATAAAATATAATTAAAACAATCCGAGAAATACAACTTTCGGGGCCGAATGTACACTCCGGGGCTTAAAGGGGTGACCTCCCACATGGGTGGGGGCCAACCCATGAATTATTACACTCTCTCAGCCAAGGATGATGCTAGGAAGTAGAGAAGAAGAGATGTGAGGTGATAGGCACCTTATGGAGACAAAGGTGGGCCTCTCTCTTCTCCATCATTTGATGAATGAGCCAAAAAGAGGCTCTTACCCTTCCCTCATCTACACCTGCGGCCAGAGCATCCCCAAGAGAGAGAGGAACCTCAAGACACCATTTCTCCATAGCCAAGAGAGCTCAAGAAAGCAAGAAGCTCAAGGAAGAAGAAGAAGTTGCAAAAGTAGAGAATAACCTTAAGAATAAAGGTGAGAAACTCCTTAACAACTTTTCTTACATATTTTGAATTTTCATATGACTTATATGTCATATGAAGTACCCTTCAGATTGTTATACATGGTTATAAGTGTAGAACAATGGGTTGAAAGATGGTTCTAAGCCCAAGAACGGACTTAGAGACCAAAGAGGCCGGTATGCCGGAAAATAACATTTTAGAGGTTATTTGTATTGATATGGGTTTTGTGATAATAAAACCTTGTTAGGAACTTGTCAAAGGTAATTCGAGAGCTTTCACGAAGTTGAAAGAGTAGCCGGAGTTATCGCCGGAGTATGTCAAAGTTCGCTGGAGTTTCGTCGGAGTTCAACCGAGAAGGGTAGAACTTCATAACGCTCATTCGAGGTGAGTGGACGGCTTAATGTCTTATAACTCTTGGGTTAAGTATGAGATTACCTAAATAAATGTTATAAGTACTCATAACGATGTTTAAAAGAGTTTAAGCATGTGATTAGCCAAAGTGATTAGGCTTATGTGAATGAAACTATATGATTATGCATGTGGAAAGTAGAAAATGTATATAAAAACATCATGATGTTTTGGATGGCCAAAATGGCATTTACTGGTTGTTTTAGACATGGTATAGGTTGTATAAAAATTTCGGATCAAACGGATTACGTTTCGGTGGTCAACTCGGGGGTCAACGGGCCGTTAACCCAAAACTCCGAACATACCCGGCGCCGGGTATAGGGCATACCCGGGGCCGGGTAAGCTGCTGCATCCATATTCTGTTTTCGCCAAAAACGCGAATCGAAGCCCGGTTCGAAGGGGGGTTAACCCCGTACAATCTATGTGTGTATATTTTGCATGAAATTGCATGGAATATGATATTTAAATGTCAAGGTTGATATCTATTGATTTAATTCTAAGACTTGGTTTAGTCTTTAGTAATAATATGATATAGACCCTATCTAGTGTGATATGTGGTAAGTCATAGGTCGGGTGGAGTACCCAGGGATCGGGCGTGTATCCTCAAAACTCGGTTATAGGGTGGAGTACCCAAGGATCAGGCGGTTATCCTCAAAACTCGGTTATACAGGGTGGAGTACCCAAGGATCGGGCGGTTATCCTCAAAACTCGGTTATAGGGTGGAGTACCCAAGGATCGGGCGTGTATCCTCAAAACTCGGTTATATAGGGTGGAGTACCCAAGGATCAGGCGTGTATCCTCAAAACTCATAGGTTAATATTAAATTACTGTTTTGTAATTTATGACCGGGTTGTGTCCTCATGTTAAGATGATTTGAACCAGGAGGTGTTCTATACACTCATAGGTATATGGGTGGGTTGTGGTTTAAGTCAAGGGTATTGACTATACTATTTTCCCAAATAAACAATGACCTACGGGTCGGGTATTTCCAAGTAAATATATACTGATATGTATTCCATAACTTGGGGGGGGGAGAACTATACGTATATGTATCACCCTATGTTTGGGTCTTATACTTGAAACGTTAGTTATTCTACATTTAGCCTGCTACTCGCTCGGTACTTGTACTGACCCCTTCGGGGGGGCCACCATTTCAGATTGAAGCTAAGGCTAGCTATCCACACCTTGCTCGGTGAAGTGATCCAAAGGAAGACGTGGTTCGTGCTTCCTTTACTGTTTTAAACTACAAACTATGCTCATGGATACTTTGTAATAAATACATTTGTTTTGGGCCTGCGTGCCTACATTTTGGCCATGTGTGGCCCATATTGAATATTGAATATTTCCACTATTCATTCAATCCAAATATGTGATGTTGTTATGTATGTTTGATACTGAGTATGGTATGAACTATGTTCATGGACGCCTTGTGTGACTAAGTCACGTTGACTTGCGAGTGACGTCATTTAGTCATACGACGGTTGTACACGCGCTTAGATGCGGTCTGGGGCGTGACAATTTGAGCAGAACCTGGTGGTCATTAGACGGCTGGAGCGCACCGATAAACCGCTGGAGGTTGCACTAGACCACGCAGACTTTTGGGTCCAAGTACATGACTTACCACTCAGTTACATGACAGCAAAGGCAGCTCGTGGCATAGCCAACAGTATAGGCTCATTTGTGCAATTGGTTGAGAGCTCTTCTGGAGGAAAACAAAGGTTGGTTATGCGCATAAGGGTCACTTTGAACGTTACTATGGCTTTAGTCTGACGCCTACAGGTTAGGCAGGAGGGGGACGACTGGATTTAGGCAAATTTTAAATATGAAAGACTCCTGAACTTCTGCTTTCTGTGTGGGATCCTAGGCCATGCTGACCGTTTTTGCCCATTCAATCCACATAGCGGGCTGAGGATAGGAGAAAAACCATGTGGGCCATGGCTGGGAGCTGATATGCGGCGTGGAGAAATGCATCTGGGGAACATATGGCTCATTCCTAGCAATAATAAACAGGGCGATATGCAAGGAAAAATTGTGGAGGTTGACAATGAGATAAGGGGTCAGGAAAGTTATTTGGTGGAGGGCCTTTTGTCGAAAGGAAAGGAGACTGCTACATCTGGAGATGCACCTAGAAAGCGTCGGGTCACGGAGATAGACAGCGAGGTGGGGGCACAGGCGAATAAGGATGTTGATGACGTGTCTTCAAAAAACATGGAGACGGCGGTGCTGACTGGACAGCACCGCCAGTAGCGGAAATCGGCGAGGTCTTGAAGGCTGTTCCTTTAGCGGGGGCTGGTCAAACCGCAACACCCTTGCCAGTGGCTAGTCAAACTGGATTATGTTATTTTCTTGTCTTTTATTCAGTTCAGAACATTGTTTTGTCTTTTATTTCCCATTCTAGTAGCAGGTTCAGCATTGCTGCGTATGAAGCCTACCACGTTGCGGGGTTAGCGAGATGGTCCGCTTGTATGCGCGAATCCAGCTCAGAGTCTCACCCCAGTATATAGCCTTCGTTATGACAACTTTGTATATGGTCCTCAGTTTTATTTAATTATTAAGTTATCTGTTTTCAAAAAAAATATGTATTGTAAGTTTAGATAGAAAAAAGCTTCTACAATTTTTCATAAGATTAGGTCTATTCTATTTTAATTTTCGCCCCTAGGCCTTCGAACATGAATGGCCGCCCCTGGACAGTACGAATCCTGAATATTTTGGCAGTTCTAATAATTCTACATGCTATTTCGCTTCTATTAGCTATAAGTATCTTCCGGCAGGGAATGTGCAACTTTCGGTTGATTCATCGCCGGCATGGCAGTAGAAAACATCATTTTCCGGCAGGGAATGTGCAACTTTCGGTTGATTCACTGTCGGACTGCCGGAGTATACAAGGCATGTTAGAAATGGACAGAAAGGAGCAGCCGGGTGAGGTTCGAACTTCAGCGCTGAAAGAGGGAGAAAATGGACGGTCGCAACGGCGTGAGACGAGAGATGGAGATTGAAGTGACGGTAGCAAGAGACGGAAATAAAACGGCAGGTTTTGACCTTTTAATAGTGTACACATGCTAAAACACATTGTACTACTTACTTAAGCTAAAGGGTTACACCAACATTTTTTCCATACCTTAAATGCCCTAACCTTCTTCATTGACAATTATAAAATTTTAAGATTAAGATTGATATTTTAAATATGATCATTTATTATTTTTTAAAAAAAGCTACTCCATTTTAAAACATCTACTCCAAAATTCTACTCTATATGACTATTTATTAGATTTTTTAAAAATCTACACCGTAGTTTTTAAAACTTTTTCCAAGACTTATTAAAAAAATAAAAAATTAAGTTAAGCTAAGTATATATACTTTTGAATTCATATTCGTAATGGTTATTTTACATCTTAATATTTAATAGCAAATAGTTAAGTTACTAACATTTTATTTCAAACCGCTAACGTAAGTGATTAGTTAAAAAAGTTATAAATAGTCATATTATTAAAAATATTAATACTAAAAATATACGAATTTGTATGTGTGTGCTCGCGTTAATGTACATATGTTAAAAATGATAGTGTTAGTAGTTATTTAAAATAAATGTAAATTGACTTATAAAACTTTTTCCAAGACTTATTTGAAATAAAAGAAATATAATTAAGTGAAATTTATAAATTTATTTCAAACCGCTAATGGAATCTGATAGTATCAATCGATCTGTTGATTCCACTGGCTATTAGCTAGCAGAGAACTACTATTCTCAAACACAGTCGCTGACATTTTCTGTCATCCACTTTTGATGACAAAACCAAAGTAGAAGGATTGAAAATGTCAATTTCACAATACTTAAAATATGAAATGTTAAAAATTCAAAAGTTGAGAACCAAAAAGTGTCAGCTTTACAAAAAAAAACAATTGAATGATGTCGTTTTAGGTGTGATAGTACGATGCTCGCGATGGGTCACTCCACGGTATATAGCGATTGACCGGTGATGGTATAAAATGACTTTGCCAAAATATAAAATTTAAATTTTATCAGTCTATAAAAAGAATTTTGTATACGTAAACAATTATTATGTTCTTATCATTAAAGGAGAAATGTAAAAAAGGATTTGATTTGAATGGTGTATTAATTTAATACCATACAATCATATTCATACTAATTATGTATGTGACACTGAGTTAGCTATAAATACTGTGATCATTGATCTATGCAAATTGTCATCAGATCAACTTGGATCTCTGTATTCTATTCAATCAAATATGTTATATTAGTTTTGATAACGCGTAGCAACAACACGACTAATAGTGTTTGTAGAAGTCGCCAATGCATTCTTCTCAAACAAATTATTGAGAATGAAATTCATTGTCAAGTAACATTTTCAAAACATTGTATAGGTATATTTAAGAAAGCTATTGGACTGTCAAATGTACAGTTGACTAGTTTTCTTGAATATACCTTCACGGAGTTTTGAAAATGTTACTTGACGATGAATTTCATTCTTAATAATTTTTAATTATTTCGCAATATATTGACTTTCTTATTCACGTCCGTTGTTGCTACACAATTTTAAACTAATTTAATTTAATTGGTTGAATAAAATATGGAGATCAAGTATGATTTGAATATATTTATAGGCAATTCAAATTTTCTTATGGTATGATATTCCTAATTATTTACATGTTCTCAAGTGAGCTATCTATAGTCATTTATTAAGTGACATCTAACAATCCTATTCATACATTTTTGTGATGCAGGAATTGTTACACCATGGGAGCTATTGATCATTTTAGCACAGTGCTTAATATACGAAGCCAGCATGATGAGGAGAATGAGGACTGTCGATATATGCATGTGACCTAGATATAATGAAAGACTACAAAACTTTATATGAAACCCTGGATTTGGAACGTTGGTATCTTGTTCGGTCCCTTTTCATATTTTGTAATTTCTAAAGAGAGTTATCAATGTAGTGGAGGAAGCTAAGCCAGTTCAAAGACAAAATGGAAAGATGTGGCTAATAATTCCTACTATTTATATCTCATATGTGTCATTTTTCTTATATACGGAGTATATTATTTGAAATGTTTATGACTCAAAAGGTCTCAATTACTCCTATTTTGGCTCAATAATCAATTTTAGCATAACGTTTAATTATGTAACATTTCTATCACTTCACACAATTTTTTAATAATTTTAATAATTATAATTAAATGACGAAGAAAATTGTATTTCTCAAAGAAATTCCTTTTTAAACTTGTGTTAATTCATTTTACCTAGAGAAAGTTTTAAGAAATAATTAAGTAAATAATGACAAGAAAATAAGTTAAAGATAGACTTAGAAGATGCATAAAAATAACATTTTATGAGTACATGAAACATTTAAAAATGATCTCTTTTCGAAATAAACTAATTTTATTTGTTAAAAGGATGTCATTTACAACTTGAGCCACATGAAGTTGAGCTAAACATAACTAAAGCACAAAAATAAGATACGTAGTCTGGTAAGCCTAATCATTATTATCGCACTATATTTCTATATATTACAATCATATATTATTTATGTAATAATCTCTCCGTTTCTTAAATTTATATCATTTAACTGGCAAATTTTAAGTGGACCACTCATAATGTTCTAATTGAATAATTTAAACATAAAAAATGTTTAACTAATGATTTAATGATTTGTTGAAATTTTTAATTTAATCCCATAGCTTATGCACATGCCCATTTTTAGTATTATAAATTTACACACTTATACTACATTATTTTTGTAGCTAATAAATTTCTCTATACTCTATATTTAGGATTTCCCCACTGGAATGTGCTACTGATTGTTTTATTGAAAAGATGACGTCGGTGATGCATATCTTCTAGTCTTATTTTTGCAGGATATTTGTAGATTGTCACATAATTGTGAATAAAAGTCATACATGATCCTAAAACTACGATGCCCAAATCATTTTTGTCCAAAAATTGATAGATCTATTATTTTAACTAATTGATGTTCTGGTTGATATTTATTGTCCAAGTCCTACTGTTAATTATTTAGTGTAACATAGATTGCCATGTGTTGGTTCAAAACAGGGCCGTCTAGACCAATTGTGAGGCCCTAGACAATCATATAGACGTTTTGTTTCTTAGTACGTATAAATTTAGGTTCCAAAAGCCAAATAATAATTAAAAATGATTCAAACTCACCCGAAATCCGAGCGCGTGTACAACCGCCGTATAATCAAGTGACGTCACCCGCGAGTCAACCTCACTTAATTACACAAGGCGTTCGAGCAAATAATCCATCCGTACTCAGTAGTAAACATACATAACAACATCACATTTAAACCAATAAATAGCGGAAATATTCAACGGTAAGTCATAAACCACAACCGGCCAACAACATAGGCATGCAAGCCCCAAATGATTTCATAGTAAATCAAATATCTATGAGCAAGTGTTTGGTAGTTTGAAAGAAAATAAGGAAGCACGAACCACGTCTTCCTGAGCTGATATCACCCGTAAGAAGGTGCAAGTAGCAAGCCCTAGCTTCAACCTGAAAATGGTGGGCCCCCCCGAAGGGGTCAGTACAAGTACCGAGCGAGTAGCAGGCTAAATATAGAATAACTAGCGTTTCAAATATAAGACCCAAACATAGGGTGATACTTATATAGATAGTCTTCTCCCCCAAGTTATGAAATACTCATTAGTATATATATACTCGGAAAAAAAAAAAAATACTCGGAAAATACCCGATCCGTGGATCACCGTTTTATTTGGGAAAAATAGTAATAGTCACTTTTCTTGACTAAAAACCCCAACCCACCCATATACCTATGAGTGTATAGGGCTCCTCCTTGTCCCTATTTCAATATCATAATCTATGAGTTTTGAGGATCATAATCCTTGGGTACTCCACCAATTTATATTTCAGTGTTAAGGACTTTTAGTCCTAGGGTCCTCCACCAAGTTTGAGTGTTAAGGACTTTTAAGTCCTAGGGTCCTCCACCAAGTTTGAGTGTTAAGGACTTTTAAGTCCTAGGGTCCTCCACCAAGTTTGAGTGTTAAGGACTTTTAAGTCCTAGGGTCCTCCACCAAGTTTGAGTGTTAAGGACTTTAAGTCCTAGGGTCCTCCACCAAGTTTTGAGTGTTAAGTACTTTTAAGTACTAGGGTCCTCCACCAAGTTTTGAGTGTTAAGTACTCTTAAGTACTAGGGTCCTCCACCAAAATATTTCCCTATGATCAACCTCCTATCAACCTAGATAGAGTCTATATCATACTTAGTCATTCATAACTAATTCAATACATAAAGCTTATGTATCACAATCCATGCAAAACCATGCAATTATATAAATGTATAATTAACTAATATCAACCGATATTAATTAATCCATTATCCATCGGCCAACGTTGTCGTTGACCGCCATTTCAAGTCTTACACTTATTAACTTAATCATCATATAATTAAGTTAAAAATATTCATTGGTGCTTCTTTTCCATTTCAAGCAAATACACCTTTTATATAATTTCTCATATCATATTCCATGTATAACGATTAACTCCTTTCATGCAACTTAACCCTATTGACTAATCACATGTTTAAATATCTTTTAAACATCATTATGAACACATATAACATTCATTTAGGTAATCTCATAATTAACCCAAAAGTTATAAGATATTAAGCCGTCCACTCACCTTGAACTAGCGTTATGAAGTTCTACCCTTCTTGGTTGAACTCCGGTGAAACTCCGGCGACTTTTGGTCAACTCCGGCGACAACTCCGGCGACAACTCCGGCGACTTTTGGTCAACTTTGTGAAACCACTTGAAATACCCTTTACAAGTGCCTAACAAGGTTTTATAATCATAAAACCCATATTAATACAAATAACCCCTAAAAGGCTATTTTCCGGTGAACCGGTCGTTTTGGCTTCTAAGTCCGTTCTTGGACGTAGAACCACCCTCCAACCCATAAATTCATACTTATAACATGTGGGATCATACTAAGGGTCTTTCATATGATATATACTTCATATGATAGAAGAAAAATGAAGGAAAAGCTATGATAAGGATATTACCTTAATTGTTATACTTTTAGCACCTTAATTCCTCTTCTTGAGATCCTTCCTTGTTGAGCTCTTCTTCAACAATGGGGAAAAAAGGGCTGGGCTGGGCGGTTTTTGTTCTCCTTGGGTGTGTCTTGGCCGAAAATGAGGGAGGGAGAGAGGTGAGGGTTACCTCTTTGTCTCATTGAACAAATGAGTGTGGATGGGGCCACCTCATTTTTGTTTGATGCCTTATTTATCACATCACAATCCCCTCCCATGTTTCTCCTCTGCACTCCAACCGGCCAGCTCTCAAATTTGAGTGGAAAAAACGTGGGTTGGCCCCCACTCATGTGGGAGGTCAACCCTTTTCGTCCCGAAGTGCACAATCGGCCCCGAAAGTTGTATTTTTCGGACTGTTTTAATCATATTTTATTTTATCGGGTAAAATAAAATATATTATGGGTTCTCAATTATAACGCCCTTTTGAAATAATATATATTCCAAGACATTAATTTAGAAGTGTCCGAAATTCATCTTCGGGCTGTTAATTTAGAAGTGTCCGAAATTCATCTTCGGAGTACATTGTCGGTACCGGTATTTGGGCCTCTTTTGCCCAATCGGTCAACTCTGGGCCTTTCCACGACCCAAAAGAAATATCCACCACCATATAAATATTATTTCAACCAAGATGAATAAAATATGTGGTCTCGGGAATGTTGGGTGGTCCCCGCTCCCGATGTGGGTCCCACGTGCAATTTACTATTCACACGAAAGAATTAGTAAAAATTACAACTTCGTAATTTCATTGACCATTCCATAAGGTTTAATACATTATTTACTTAAAAGTAAATATAATTGGGGACGGTGTTACATAACCTCTCTATGTAGGATATTCCTTTGGGGGTGCAAGTACTCGCGGGTTGCATGCTGATATTTGCCTCCCTAAAAATGAGGGAGGACTTGGTATCATGATTCGTGATACTAAAACATGGAATGCCTCCCTTTTATCCAAACACTTAGGGACATCCATACTAAGAAAGATACTCTTTGGGTGAAATTTGTGCATGGTGTTCATTTTAAGGAAAGAGATTTATGGGGGTTTTCCCCACACCATAGGGACTCCCAGCTATTCAAAAGAATAGCACTTGTCTATGATAAAATTGCCCTCAAATGTGGGGGGCTATGGAGGCAGTATGGTGCCTTAACCAATTTAATGAGCATGGGAAACTCTCTTTCTCTAAAGTGTATAGTATGATCTTTTGAGAACCGAGGGAATGCTCAAGCTTGAATGTCTTTCATTTGGAAAGCATGCATCCCTCTTAATTCCTCCTTTTCTATATGGCTTGCTTTTAGAAGTAGAATAGCAACATATGACAATTTAGGTCAGTTGGACCTAGTTAACATTTGTACCTTTTGCAAGGGTGAACCGGAAACGGTACCACGCCTATTTTTTGCTTGTTCATTTTCAGGTGCAATATGAAAAGAAGTGAGAGAGTGGGTGGGCATGCCGCGGCAAATGAGTAACTTGGCTAGCTCAGTGAAGTGGATCAAGAAGAAATATGTTGGGGCTGGAATCAAGTCCAAGGCTTCCCGGATTGCTTATGCCTACTCTGTTAGTTGGATATGGAGGGTTAGAAATGCTACAAGATTTGATGGAACAACACACACAGAGGAGGATGTGCTTTCTAGGATTAAATACATTGTGTACAAAATTCTTTATAGCATTTACCCCTATGGCCCTATCATATGATTACTTTTTGATAGACTTAGTTCGGCCTGTCACCACTTTTTTGTGTTTGGCTGATCAGTTCTTTTATTGCCTAGTTTTTTTAGATGATGGTTTATCCTAGCTTAGGATTCCCCCGATTTTTGACCTCTGTTTTTTCTGTAAATTAAAGAAAGTCTATTTAGATTATCTTTTAGATATACTTACATTTCATTCAAAAAAATGAAACACCCATGCATCAAAACATGATCTGAGTAAAAACGTTTTGACATATCAAAATAAGAGCACTAAGATTTTATTCCCTAAATATGACTACTTACTATGAAGTATGTATTAAGTATAGA